TAATTACCTATAGAGAAGGAAAATAAAAATAAAATAAATACATACTATATATATTGGCACTCTAACTTTCGAGATGACATATATATATATATATATATATATATATATATATATATATATATATATATATATTATATACGTAAAAACCATTAAAAATATATAATATATAGTATATTCTGAATACTATTAATGTAATTATTAATTATAATTAATAATTAATATAACCTTATATACATATATACCCATATATATATGTACCACCATTCATGGGTAGTAACTGTACCCATTTAATCTCCCTATCCAAGTAGTTCATGAGACTCAAACGGTTGGTCCATTACTACTATCCTAGCCCAACTCCTCAAAATAAAATAAACATTTAATTTAAACAATTAATGTCAACTAAACACCTAACACATAAAACAGATAGCACACATTATTTAATCACATTATTTAATTAACCATATAAGCATATAATTTAAATGAAAACAAATAAGTAAATTAACCAATTAGACAATTAAACAATTAAATATATAATCAAAACATCAATTAATCAATTAAATAAATAAAAATGCAAATAAAAGAATTAAAAGAAATACCAAGACTATCATTTTAAAATTAAGGGTATTACATTCTTCCCCCCTAACAAAAGGAATTCCTTTCTCGGAATTCGCTCTTACCTTCTTTCATTATTTCAGGAAAATGCGAGCGAATGGCATCCTCCCATTCCCAAGTAGACTCAGCTTCACTATGGTGACTCCACTGGACACGCACTAAAGGGATAACCTTATTGCGAAGAATATAATCTTTACGATCGACAATATGACACGGTGGCTCCAAATATGTTTCATCCGGCTACAACTCAATCTCACTAACATCAATATGCTGATAACGATCCTCATCTCGCAGAAATTTCCGCAACATGGAAATATGAAATACATTGTGCACACGATCCAAATGATCCGGAAGTGCTAACCGATAAGCCACAGCTCCAACTCAATCCGAAATCATGAATGGACCGACAAACTACGATGACAACTTCCCTTTCTTCTTAAAGCGTATTACATCTTTCATATGAGACACTTAACCTGATCCCCGACCTGAACTCCAATGCACGAGTACGACGATCGTCATAACTCTTCTGCCTACTCTGGGCAGTGTGCATGCGATCCCTAATAAGAGTAATCTTTACAAAAGTATCCTTAATAAATTCAAGACCCAAAATCTGCTCTCTCCAACCTCCATCCAACAAACAAGAGATCGATATGATCGACCGTACAATGCCTCAAATGGTGCCATACCAATAGTCTTCTGAAAATTATTATTATACGCGAACTCCACAAGCACAAGTGGCAAATAATTCTCCCAGTGACCCTTAAAATCAAGAACACAAGAACGAAACATATCCTCCATAAGCATATAATTTAATTACACAACTAAACAACTAACACATAAAACAGATAGTACATATAATTTAATCACATTATTTAATTAACCACATAAGTATATAATTTAAATTAAAACAAATAAGTAAATTAACCAATTAGACAATTAAACAATTAAACATATAATCAAAACATCAATTAATCAATTAAATAAATAAAAATGCAAATAAAAGAATTAAAAGAAATACAGAGACTATCCTTTTAAAATTAGGGATATTACAATCACTGTCATCTTCCACCACAACCACCTCCACCTTTCATCACCACCGCCACCACCTTCCACCATCGCCACAGACTCTCACCACCACCCACCACTTTCCACTACCGCCACCGCCACCGCCACCACCACCGCCTTTCATCACTTTCCACCACCGCAACCGCCTTTCATCACTTTCCACCACCGCCACAGCCTTCCACCACCACCACCTCCGCCTTTCACCACAACCACTGCCTTCCACCACCACCGCTGCCACTGCCTTTCACCATCGCCGCTGCCGCCTTCCACTACCACTTTCTACCACCACCGCTGCCACTGCCTTTCACCATCGCCATCGCCATCGCCTTCCACCACCACCACCATAGCCTTCCACCGCTTTCAATCACCACCATCGCTACCGTCTTCTACCACCGCCACCTCCAGTGCCTTCAACCACCACCACAATCACCTCTATTGGCTTCCATCATCGCCACCTACACCACTATCTCCTTCCACCACCATGCCAGCAACACTCTTGCCACTGCCTTCCACCACTGCTACTTTTCACCAACATTGCAGCCTTCTACCATTGCCACCACTGTCGCCTTCCAACACCACCACCTACACCACTACCGCTTTCCACCTCCACCACCATCCACTACCACCATTTATTTTTAAAAAATTATAGAAGAATGCCATTTTGTTAATTTAATTTATTTTTTACTAACAGGGATATTTTGGAGAATTCAATTTGAAATTTATTATATTCTAAATTTAAAATTAGTTCAACCAAACACTATAATAGTTATTATCATTCCATTCATACACATTTCATATTTACAACCAAATAATAAAATGAGAATATATATGAATTTGAAATTTAAAATGGAGCTTAAGTTGTGTATTCGGTTGCAAGAATTTAAAGCTTTTATAACTAGAATAGTAAAAAATTTGCTTTAATTTTTTGAGTTAATTTTTTTCAATTGCACTAATTTTAAATTTAAAACCTGAACATAAAGTTAATTTATTTTGCTTTACCTTTCTAAAAATAAAAACTAAACTGGGGCCTACACCGACGCAGGTACCCACCGTAAACATTTTTAGCAGTCGATTTTTGCCACAATAAGTTATGGTGACAGTAAAACAGCAGATATATCGCTTTAGTATCTCATATTTGTTGGAGTGGGCCTGATCAAGTAAGTTTGGAATGTGACCAGTAATCTGCTATATTGAGGTGGGCCCTGACGAAGTAAATTTAGAATGTGACTAGTGATCTCTGATGGGCCTAATGATCTATCTGCCACCATCATTTCTCCTCTATGAAGTTGGGCTGCATTGGTCATCAATCATCATAAATATGATTCTATTTTGGAAAATGATATATTGGCCGATCTTGTTATATAATTAAACTCAACGGAAACCAAAAGTGACGTGCCATGAGCTGGTTTTACCCTTGTATCACGTTAAATGAACAATTTTTTTAAAGCCGGAAGTACCCTTTACCATCTTACCTGCCACATTATTATTATTATTTTTTTTATCCACCATGAAATATAGTAGGAATTGAATGAAATATAGTGAGAATAGAATGAAGCTGAGAATGGAATGTGACCATTCTAGTGTTTGGTTACAAATATGGAATGCTGTAAATATATAAAGATGAATCTTTTTCACGTATTTGATTGAACCAATTAAAAGCTGGAATGAAATTAATTTACATTCACTTCTGCCAATTACCCTATATTATGAATAAAGAAATTTAACTTAAAAAATAATTAACAAAAAAATTAACAAGTAAGAAATGAAATTGGAGCAAGCAAGATTAAGGACGCCATGGTTTTTTTTTTTTTTTAGTTGATACTCATACACACTTGTCTCTTCTGACCTCCTTTTGGGAAGTAAGAGGTTGATACCTCTAGGTCATTGGCCCGTTGTTGAAGATGCCATGTTGAGATAAAGGGTAGTGAGAGAGGAAGACGAGGAAGTCAAATCTGTCTCCGACGGCGAAGGAAGACAGCGGAGGGAGACGATGAAGGTAAAACCAACGCTTGGAAACGAGAGAAGCGACTGGGTTGGGTTGGGTTGGGTTGGGTTGGGTTGGGTTGGGTTGTGTTGTGGTCTTGTATGTTCCACCGTTGAGAAATGAGATGATGATGGCGGTGGAGCAAGACGGCTAGATTATGGAGAGAAGTATAACAGATCTGATATCAAGGATGAAGTTTGTGGCAACGTTGAAGAAGTTAAAGGTGCGATCCAGACTTCCAAGGTCTCTGATCCCAACGGTGTTTATGGATTGTCCGATAGCTTCCTCTACTTCAACTTCAGCCACCTTTATCATCTCTGTGGTTCTAGTCTATGGAAGGAATTCCAATGTCGATGGGTTGAAAGATGTTGATGGGGTTGGAAGAAGATGTCGATGGATTTAAAAAAGATGAATGGGTTTTTTTGTCATAATTTTTTTAATCTTATTCCGTGTGGGGATGAAATGATGAAATCCATTCCGCTGATAAAGAGAATGAATGATTTTGTATCAAACATAAGAATGGAAAGAGAAGCATTTTAATAACTTTTTTAAAAAAAATTTATTTTTTATTTTTATTCATAGGTGTAGACAAGGACGGACTTAAAGAGACTACTTACCCCCAGATTTTTTTTTTTTATTATACTAAATACTAGGATTTTTTTATATTACAATTATTATTTAGCAATGAAATTTTATTGTTGTCCCGTAAAATTATAAAAGTATTTTACTTTTACCCCATTACCCAATTTCCTGGGTCGGTGTCCCTGGGTGTAGATATGGTGAGGAGGATATAGGTTTGGATAGGTGGAGAAAGATGATGATGGTGAAAGTTGATGATATGTGTACAACAGAAAAGGAAGATGATATCTCGAATGTGAGAGAGAGAGAGAGAGAGAGAGAGAGAGGTGATTGGTTGGTGAATGAGAGGATACACATTCTGAAAATATGAGAGTAATTAATTGAGTCCTAAAAATGTTGTGATTTGATTGTTAATCGATGTGAGTCCTGTGACTCCTGTCTCCTCGGCCCATCTAGCATACCCTAGGCATGGACCAAAAACTGTAATCCACTATAAATTTTGGGCCACTTTTGCTTCAAGCCTATCTTCTCAATATTGATGTAGTCAGGTACAGAAATAGATGCATGTGTGACTTTTCAATTCAAAAAAAGAATAATATGTAAAAATAAAATAAAAACTAAAGGTTGTGGGTTGCCCGGGTTACCTACCGTTCAAGAATCATAGATTCCCACACACACACACACACACACACACATATATATATTTGTTAGGTAACAATAGATTAATATCTTGACTATTGTAGAAATAAAAAATCAAAAATGAAAATGAAAATGAAAATTAAAATTAAAATCAAAACTTGATGGGAAAGGAAGCATGAAGTCCACTACACCACAAGACGAGTCATGTGTGTATTTATCTCTTGGCCTCCTTTATTGGGTAAGACTTGCATACATAGAGGAAACTTTCTAGAAGACCATAACATGACATGACATGACACATAATAACACCTTATTTAAATATCCTAATGTGCACACACTTGAGTGGAGTGAGCGTATCAAAATTGGTAACCGTGGTTATTCAACACTAAGGGTCACACAACTCAGGAGTCATAAACCCGACAAAGAAATAGAAAATTTTCCACACGAAGACTATGAACGCCCGCCTTGTGATTCCCTCCAAGCTAAGTCACCTTTTGCTTAGTCTCATCCAACATACAGTTTCCTAGCCGGCCCTTTCTCTGACAATTCACAGCATCGCTCTCTCTATATATCTATATATATATATATATATAGTCCCATGATATGCGCCATATAAACTAATGTTCAAAATTACCAAAATAAACTTTATAGTGGCATCATTCTTACCTACCTTAAAATATCATGGGAACGAAGGCAATCACATGAATTCTCTTTTTTCATTGAGTCATTGACTTCCGTGGTACTGGCTTAAGTTGATGGCTGAACCCATTGAAGCAAACTTGACTAGCTCTTCTTGCAACAAGGACCTGCCTCTATCACCACCTCCTACGCCAAGGAAATCTCTGGTCATTCCATGTTCAGCTTCATTACAACTTGTTTTGTTTTGCTTTCCATTGGTAGGCATCATCATTGAAGGATCCGAATTCGTACTGCTTTTACTCACTAATGAGCTTGAGTTCATATAACCCAATGGCAATCCCCCTTCATGAGTACTACCACTGCTAGTGGCTGGCACCGAATTAGCCGAAATAGAACACATTAATCCATTCAAGTTCTCACTCTGGTTCGAGAATTTCTGGACCTTATTTATATTTTGATTGAAAGAATTGAAGCTTGTGACACGAGAAAGGGACGAGCTCATGAGACCAAAGCTGTTCCCAAACAGTGATGAATTGCTTGTTGTGGATCCCATTTGGGCTGCTTTTTGTAAAAGTGCCGTGGCCGACATGGGAGATGAGGCTGCTTCTTGCTGCTGCTGACTCTGGTTGCTGTAAAACAAAGAGCTTATGGTCTCCGGCATATTCCCTTTGTTCTCTTCCTCCACCTTCAATCTCCGTGGCGGTGCCATTGAAGATATATTATTGGTGCAATTATATGGTGCTTCTTGTTCCCTACTGAGCCATTGTGCTGATAATCCAAACATATTTGGTGGTGGTGTTTGCTCAGACAAGCCGGCATTAGAATTGTTAAATGCCATCCCAATGTGGTTAAGATGAGAATTGCCATGGTCCAACCATAGTGGCAACCTAGGTTTCCGCCCATCCATCATGTTCTGGCCAGCCTCTAAAGCAACAAGATCGGGCTGAAACACCGAGGAAAACTGGGGGTTTCCGGCAGCTTGAGGATCCCCAAGTGACCCACTAATCAAGTCATTTCTGTAGTTCAAATTTGGCGTAGGAACTGAAGTGAAATTTGCATTTTCTTCAGCCAGGGCATCACAAAAGGCCCTGTGTGTGATGAAGCTATCCTTTCTGTTTGATATATATATATACATAAACCCCAACTCAACTATATTAAATATAACCTATGGTCCAATCACATTAAATTGGAATAAAAGCAATTAATGCTTATATACACATGAGGGGGCAATGCTACTTGGAACGAAAATTCAAACCGAGAATCCTAGTCTAGGGATTTTTAATCCTCAGATGCGTTGTATAAGATCAAAGTTTTGGTCTTATTTAGTAGCTAACATTCTCGGTTATACAAAGCATCTAAAGGATATAATTGAAATTCATTGGTTAACATTCTCAGTTTAATTTTTCGTTCTAAATAGCCTTGTCCAAACATGAGTAGCTAGCTAGCATTTATTTCACTTCAAGTAGCTAATCATATATACTAGAGAATTATAATTAAAGAAGACAAAGACCAAATTGAGAAAGAAAGATGTTAAGGTACAGTAGTATATCTATATATACCTGGAGAAGAGTGTTCCACAGTCACATTTATACTCTCTAGTCCCACAAATCTTGCTATGAGCCTTCCAATCAGACTGAACTGCGTATTTCTTTGAACACTTCTCGCACTTCCACTTCTTCTCGCCATGTTTTCTGCTGTAATGCTTCTTTATTCCGGTGAGGTCCCCGAGGGCTCTTGACCGATCGTGGTGCACACAGCTCTTTTCGGGGCAGATATATACCTTTTTCCTGACCTCTTTGTTGGTTCTTTGCTTGAGCTTCCATGGCAGATTGTGACCTCTCCGATGCAGCTGCAAGTTTTGGTCTCTCTGAAAACCCTTGTTACATATCTCACACAAGAATCGATTCGTCGCCATGAGAGACTTCGGTGAGAGAGCTATCACTTCTGCATCCGGATCTGCTTAAATCAAACAATCCATTAGAAAGATAAAAGAATGGCTAGTAGACTTCCGGCTAACTGTAATTTTACTCATCAGGAAGAATTTTTTTAAATAAATAAAATAAAATACAAACTTTGCAGATGGTGTGATGTATGGAGATGAGCTATATCTATATATATATAATTATATATACACATATACTTGCCTGGTGTACCTGGTAGGTTTCTCTTCCTCTTCACTGAATTCGCATTAGGGTTAGGGTTAGGGTTAGGGTTAGGGTTTGGATTTGGTTCTTGAATGAAGCCACTCATTGATGAGGGAATTGAGGAGCGCCCATCACCAGACATCATTGTGTAAATGATGAATTTGAATGTTCCTTAAACTTGATCAACCAGAAGAACAAGCTAGAAGTACTCCAAAGCTGAAACAGTTGGAACCAAACAAAGAAAAGTAAAAACAGAAGAGAAGATTATATTTTTTTATTTTCCGAAATCTAACGAATTAGTAGATCTTTATCTAACTCTTCTGCAGACTTGTTTGAATCTTGAAATAAAATATATCCATGAAAGCTAAAGAGAATATTTCAACTCTCTCATCACACTCTTCTTTTTGGTATGTCTTTGTCATATACTCCTCATCTTACACGGCTTCTCTCAAAAGTCGGTCAGTCATAGACTCGGGTGGACCACTCTCTATTTTCTCTCTCTACATATCACTATTTTCTCTCTCTAAATAGTTTTAAAAAGGCAACTTGGTAGAGCTGTTGCAGCAGTGTGCTTCATGTCTTTTCATGGATTTGAACTCAAACTTATATAGTAGTATAGTAGAATTAATAATTATTGAAGAAAAGTTACAGAAAAAACAACATTGAAATTTAAAAAAAAAAAAAAAGGTAGAATCTAAACTTGATCTAAAAAAGGTGTGAGGGATAAAAGTGTATCACCTTTACAGCCATTCATCAGGTAAAAATCATTATGCTATTATTGTATTTTGAATCATGCAGAGAGAGAACTTTATTTATATATAGATATATATATATATATATTGTGCGTGTACATGGGTATACGGATTCCGTCCGTGAAGTCCTGACTGGTGGATTGGATTGGAGATGGAGCATTGGGTGGGTATGGTTGGGACCCACCAGACTGACTGTCAGTGAGACTAAAGTTGATATATAATTAGAAGGAAAGGATCAAACTAATACAAAAAACAAAGACAAGAGATGACTAGTACCGCTAGATGTGTCGACCACCTCACGAGACACACATTCTCTCTCTAAAAACACACACACATACCTAGAAATTCGCTCAATAGTAGAGGTGGCGAGTGGATGCGAGTTAATTTAGAGAATCTATTCCGAGTTCACTCAGTTTTTGCTCATTTCTTTGTGTTACTTTGTCAAGTTAAATGCAAACATATATGTGTTCATCATTTTACTTGATATTTACTCATTAATCGAAGACAGGATCTCCGAAAACGAAAGGTTTGAATAAAAGTAAAAAGCATCCAGCACCGACCCATGTAACTCTCCACTTGATGTTTTCAGAGAGTCAATCATTTTTCAATTCTCATTAATCAAACGCTTTGTGAAAATTGTTTCTACAATATTATTGTTGTCGTCACTGTCATCATTGTGGCTACCAAAGATGAAAATTGCATCCATTGAATAGTAATCACATTATCTTTGCAACTGTGTCAAAAAATAAATAAATAAATAATCTTTGAAACTTACATCTTAATAAAATATGGTTTTTAATGTTATTGAAGTGGAACATAAGTGTGTTTCTGATATTTAATGTTAGTAAAGTAGAGTTGTAGGTGTTTCTTGTCAAAAATATATAAATATATATATAAAAGGAAGTTATTGACTATGCTTAAAAGTCTTGCTATATTATTAAATTTCAATTCAACCTCTTATTAATTATTCCTATTTGACAAATTAATCAAATTTGGAGAGTGCTATGGTACTCCGAGATCATTTCCATAACCTATATATGTTGTGTTGAAGGGATATTTATATAATCTGATCGATTGCATAGAATTTGCGGTGACAACGAAATTGGGGAAAGTATATAGGATAAACGGTTCTTTTCAATTATATTAGTGTTAGTTAGTGATCTTGGCTTAGTGAGTCATTTCTTCCGTGCTGAACTGTTGGCACCAGTCCTACATTTTGTCTTTGTAGACCGAGGAGAAAAGGGACTTGGCAGGAAGATGATTGTATCATGAGAGAAGTAAGGAGGTCAACGTATCTTGCTAGCTGGCTCTTCCCGACGAAATGCGTTGAGGCACAACAGTTGACTGGACATCTAGAAGCAGACACAAACCTAATATAGGACCAATGGGGGCATCCGCCCCCACTGAAATTTTAATATTTTCGTTTTATACCTCATTTTTTAAAAAAATTATGAAGATGCCCCCACTAAAATTAATTACAATTCGCCCCCACTGAATTATTTTTTTATATTATTTTATACTTCAATTTTTTGAAAATTTATGAAGATGCCCACTATAATTACATTTTTTAAAATTTATAAAAAAAACTCTGTTGATATTACAAAAATGGACCCACTATATAAGTTTGCCCCCACAAATTAAAAGGCCACCCCCCCCCCCCCCCCCAACCACAAAATTTCCTAGATCCGTCACTGTCTAGAGGTAAAACACTGTTTTGATGCGGGCTGTGAGAGCAATACCAAATCGAGGCAAATATTTCTAAATACTAGATATGACCTCAAAATAAAATAACAGGGGGTCAAGGTCGGGCAGTGAAACGATGGGGGATAAACTTCATCGTCGAGAGGAAAACAACCCGAATCACCACCCAAGACCCCTAAATGATCGCTTGGAGGTAGGGTGTAGAGACATCCAGAATCCACACCTCATTTGCAAGCTCCGTAGCAAGAAATGATGTATGATGTTAAAAAAAAAGACCTTCACGTATATTGCTAGGAATAGGTATATCAATTAGTAGGTACACAAAGATTAATGTCGGATAAAACTCGAATTGTTCGATTTTTTACTAAATACACTAAAGAAAAGATGATTGGAAACATAAATATGAAAAATATTTTCACATATCTCAAATAAAATAGAAACATAATTAATTAATATAGAAAGTTAGATGAATTCAGTGAACCAAATAGTGTAATTAAAATTGATGAAACCTTAGGTGTGTTTAATTTCGATAGATAGGGGAGAAAAGAAAAAAAAATGATAGTATTAGTTAAAAAAAAAAAAAAAAAAGGATAATAATAATTTTTATTCGTATTTGTATAGATGGGGGAGAAAAGAAAAGAAATGATAGTTATTCTTGTTTGGATAAGATAGAGGAAAGAAAAAAAAAAGAAATGATAGTGACTAAATTACTGTCCTACCCTTTCAGAAAAGAAAGGATAGATATTCTTGTTTAGGACATAAATGGAATAAATTTTATGTATATTGATTTGTGGAGGGTATTTTTGGTATTATCAATTAATCATTTACTCAACTATCATTTCTCTCCCTATCTTCTCAAATTAGGAGAGAACCCAAACACACTCCCACCTTATTCTTTCTTTCTTTTCTCTCTCTGTCCCTCCAAATCAACCCTACCAAACACACCAACAGAACCACTTTAGCAATCTTACAAGATAGTTTGAGTGGACAAGTCTTTCTTAACAGTCGTTCCTATCTAAATGCGTTTCTGCTCTGTTCAAAAAAATGATGACACAGTTTCATTTCTTGTGGATTGAGCCTTTTTCCAGGATTGTCTTTAATCAAATACCAGAATTCCAATGTGTTCAGTGACAATTTGAAATTTGTGGCACCAACATGAGCTAGCTTCCCAACACATGCCAATGTATCAAAATATGTTGGGATTATATGTGTGTGATATATATATATATATATATATATATATATATATCTGCATTGAGAGAGGTGAGAGGATGTCACAGCACTGTACCTCTAATTTCAGGAAATGTTGCTTTCCCAGTAGGGTACCTACATGCCTCTAACATTTACCCTAAGGTTCACATTCTATTCAACCACTTTTGTCTTTAAGCATTCGGGAGTTTCCTCCTTCATCCACATGCATGTCTTCTTAATTAGCCTCTCCTTCATTCCTGATGAATGAATGAATACACACAAATATTAATTAATTCTCTAGCTAGGGAACTGAAAAAATATAATTAACACACACAAATAGACACACAGACATTTTGCTAATCCTACATATATGTCCATCAAATATATAGAATCCGTCCAATAGTCTTTAACTCAATTATTTTTATGCTTTCACTCACATAAAAACAATCAAAATTGTATGATTTTTGGTGTCAACTTATATCATTAATTTTCCTTTCTTTTATTCCTAAAAATCTCGATTTAGAAGTTTTGCATGCAAGGTCAATCCCTATTAGTTTTCTTTTATGGCTGGTTTCGGTGTAATGCCTAATTTAATTAGTTTTTTTTTTTTTTTTTTTTCACCTAATCTAATTAGTTGGGACCATCTAAAATAGAACTATGATACAAACTCCAACAAGCCAGAATAAGAGAGGCATATAACATGTCAAGCTTTAAAAACACATATTGGTAAGACTTTGTTTCAACGTAAAATGTATTTTTCAAAAAATATAGTTCTATTTTAGATGGTCCCAACTAATTAGATTAGGTAGGTTTATTTTTTTACATAAGTTTTTTTTTAATTTTTTTTAGTGTTTGGCAAAGGTAGAGATCGAGTCCATTAGATGGGCATGTAAAATAACTATTCCAAAATTACTGAGTATGTTATTTTTTGTTAAATTAATTTTTCTTTTTTTTTTTGTAAATACGATAACTAAACTCTAAAAAATTAAAAATTAAAAAAAAATTAAAAATATTTTACATCCAAACAGAAAGAACCTAAAATGTGGATGAAAATTGCTATTTGTACATAGTATCCCTTCTTTAATTTTCATGAAAGAACTAATAATTTTCTTTCCCCTTTTCTTCCCTTATCTCTTCTCTTATCTTCATTTCTTTCCTCTCTGTTTTTTTTTTTTTTTTCAACATTTCTTTCTTTTCATCATTCCAAACATACCATTAATTTCCATGGTATAATTGGTATTCAGACATTAGGAAGCGGTCTCAGTTCTCAATGGACCAACTGGGCCCCTCTACAAAGCGATTTAGCTTAGCCGTATCAGGCCCTAGAAAGGTTTCAGGAATTCTTTTTGGGCCTCTTTAGTCCTTTGTTTGGTCTCAGCCCAATAGATTTTTAGAGTTCTCGGCTCGCAGACAATGTGGCAGGATCTGAGAGGCCCTTTCAAACATTGTTTCTATGAAGTCTGGACAATGTGGCATTCTGAATCTCTGTCATTCACCTTCATTACTACGAAGAAATTTCTCTTGAACCAAACAATAATGCTCCGTTTATAGAATATTTTTTTCCTTTTTTTTTAAAGTAAAATATTTTTATTTTTTAGTGTTTGTCAAAGGTCTAAGTCCAATATATCGGGATGGGACGTAAAAAATAATTTATGAAAAATTAATTAGTAAATTATTTTTATTATACTTTAAATATGTTTTTGTTCATTAATATTTTACAACAATCAAACACCAAAACATAAAAAATATTTTTAAAAAAATATTATACATCCAAA